TAAGTATTCATAAGAAGTATTCATGAGCAGGCATCTCTGTTAAAGGCTGTTCCAAGACTCTGAGAGTAGAATGGTATGAAATGTGCAATCTATGAGAGTAGATGTATGAAATATTTGAAAAAACTGCAGGTGTTGTACTTGTATAATCCTCAGCAGGATAATTCATGAAGTGAAAGAAAGAAAGCTAGTTAAACACGCTGATCTTACCTTCTTTCTCTTTCCAAATGACCTTGCTTTCTAAGGAGGTCTTTTCAGTGCTGCATGCAGAGAAGCCCCATACTACATGGTCACTGCTCTTGGTTTAGAATCCAATATGTATGCACTGGTTTTCTTTTCTCCATCTTCTTACTGCTTTTTGGAAAGGTTGGGATTTATATTTAAGTAGCTTTATCATCAAAGAATTAAAAAAAAAAAAAAGCACTAGGTTAATAAATTTTTCTTATTTCATTTGAGAATGCACTGCCCAGTTCTTCTCTGAATTTCCTTTTCCAACAAATTCTTGCATTTCTGTTTGACCAGAATAGAAGTAAGAATGGATGGTATGATTTAAAAAAAAAAAAAAAAAAAAAAAAAAAAAAAGAGGGAGAGAGACATGATAGTCTGGTTCCAGTATATTCAAGAATATAAGTAAGATGACATTTCTCACGACACACAACAGTTTATGCTATTAAATGCAATTTGAAAAGTTGAGATCACAAAGTGACTTCAAGAACTGTCTCATGCAACAGCTGCACATCATAGTGAATGCCAAAATCTTGCATTTCTCTTCTTCTTCCCTTGCCTTGTTACTAGAATATTTAGTCTCTTTTTCATAATGAAGAAATTTAACAAAAAAATTATCTGTATTTCACTTCTCCCAACTTCGAGAATTAATTTGTTCTGAATGTCCCTGATCTTGTGACAGATCTTGTGACAGAAAAGCAAACATCAATCCAAAAGGAACAAATATGTGAAAGCAATTGTCTAAACACTTTCACCGTTATATCTGTAAAATAGTAAGAGACAGGGAAATGCTGCTAGGGAAAGGTTTTAATTCACAATCTGCTTTACCAACTGATTGGCTTCATTTTTGAAAGCCCTCTGAAAATTTTGTATTTCAGATGTGCTTCCTAAGCCATTTCACTGTTGTTCTTTTGTCTCCTTAACACATTTCAAAATTGGGACCTATTAAATATCTTACAGTATAACTTAGTAATTATATATCTCATCTTAGAATGATTGTTTAGCACTGACTTGAGGTACATATGAGAAGATAGACAATATGTTAGAATTTGTTATTGTTAAACTACTGATATGTACACATACACACACACACTCCTAGGTTGCTCTGAAAGTAATGCCTCCTGTTTATTTCCATAGAAATTACAGCAGATACAAGAAGCACAACACTGTATGATGGAGCAAATTCTCAGCTATAAAACAGTTTTTGAAGTTTTTGAACAGTTTTTGAACAGTCATGAGCAGTTTAGCTATGCATTTTTGCCAGCGATGAATAAGAGCCTGCACACCATGCTGCGTGCCGTGCTCGTAGCGATCTGCACCAGTGAAGGTGAACCTCAGAAACACACCACCCACCAACTCACTGTGCTCACATCCACTGTTTGGTATCTATCAGTGTTCAGTAAGCATTGATGAATGTCAGTGGGTGCAGTCTTTCCATTACTGAGGAATTCAGTAACACCCCTTACCTTCATCCACACTACTGTGGCAAACGCCGTTTTGTCAGACTGCCCCTCTGCTGCATCTGTCACATGTCAACAAAATGTAGTGGAATATTGGTGGGAAAGTTCAACATCTACTGCCATAGACATCTGCCTTGTGGGCCAACATCATAAAATAGGAGGCATTACTTTTGGAGCAGCCTTCATATGTTTATTCTGTAGATTTCTGTTTCTAGGTCCCATTTTCCAGAGAAGGGCCAGGAATCAAATTCTGCAACATTGCAGTGTTCCGAACTTCTGCAGTACTAGTAGGTGGTTGACTCAAATGTACTGTCTGCTCATCTTTGCATTCCCATTTCTTATGCAGTCTTCATGCTTGGGAACTACTGGCATCCTGCTGTCATCACTGTTCCTAACCAAGGTGTTCTTAGGGCTCTTTTAGAAACCTTTAGAATCCTTCTAATTTCATTCTTCTCAATTTCTGAAAAGCTTGAAATATGAAACTTCACATGTTATCCTTAGGCACACAATGTCTATTGGAGTGACAAAATACCCATTTATATTTCCACTCTTGTTTCTTTTCCTACAGTTATATAGAATGTTTTAAGTTGGAAGGGACCTTAAAGAGAACCCAGTCTCAACCCCCTGTCTTGGGCAGGACTTCCACCCACCAGCTCAGGCTGCTCAGGGCCTCATCCAACCTGGCCCTGAGCATCTCCAAGAAATTGGGCTTCCACAGCTTCTTTGGGTAACTTGTTCCAGTGTCTCACCATGCTCTGAGAAAGTAATTTCTTCCTAACATCTAACATAAATTTCCCTTCTTATAGTTTAAAGTCATTCCTCATTATTCTGTCACCATCAGACCACATAAAATGTCTGTCCCCCTCCTGCTCCTAAGTTCCCTTTAATTACTGGAGGGCCACAATGAGGTCCCCCCAGAACATCTCCTATCTAAACAAGCCCCGTTTTCTTCAGCAAAAGGTCTCTTCAGTGAGCATTTTGAAGCTGATTATTATAGCATGATTTCCAGTGTCTTCAGTCTGAAACTAAATATATTTTTCAGAGTTTTGAGGAAACAATTTCTGTATACTCTTACTATTCTTCTATGCTTCTGCCACCTACATGTGGGAAGAAGCATAAATACATGTGGCGTCCAGTCCAGGCACCTCAAACTGCATTCTTGCTTCCTTAATGAGGAAAGATGCAGTATGTCCCCAAAAGATTTACAGGTTCTGTGAAGATCAGCTCCTCAGGGTATGTGCAATAAAACAAGCATGTGAAAAGAGCAAGCCTCTGTTGTCAGGCTACCTTATCCAGGTTTTGAACCTCTCTTTGCAGCCACTGGATAGAGGAAGACTGAAAAGGCAGTCGAATGACCCCTCACTGACCTTTATCTTTATGGGGGCTCTCAGTCCAGCAGCTGGTTATTATTCCTTTCATAAAGTGTGGCCAGCTCTGAGTCATTCATTGCAATCACTTCTGAAACACTAAGCAAACCTCAAACCATGCTAAAAGTAGCAAGGTACACAGGTACTTGGAATCACTAGGTCACGCCTGTGACATAGGTGAGATGTGCTGTCCCTGCCACATGCACCATTTTCTATCTCTTTAAAAAACAAAAAGACAAACTTGAAATAAGCAAATAAAAAAACAACCACTATTGATCTTTCAATGTTTAATTTTCTTCTGTGTGAAATAGAGCTGATTTAATACCATAGCAATGAGGGGAGTTGCATATCCTCCACCCAGAAGTAATTGGTAGGGTGAGAATCTCCATGCCAGTGTTATTTAACTTGTTGTTTTCAGGTGGTTGTCAAATCTTTCTTTGATCACTGCACTTCTAAAACAAAAAATGTTCTGGTTGCATTGAATTTAAACATTTTAAATTTGCTTTATTTTCTTTTTATTCTTTTACCTTTTATCTTTCGAATGTATGTATATCAGTTGAATGCACCTTTGAAAAAATACCTTAATTGTTTAGTAGTTAATTTCTTCTTTTAGAAATGAAGCTTCTGAAGCTTTCTGCATTTATTTCCATTTAAGTATATCACAATATGGTGGAGGAGGATGCAAAAAAAGAAAAATAAAAATAAGAAAAAAAATTCAAGCATCAGCAGAATTGCGTAGAAATAGGGAAAGCTTTTCTTTCAGTTAACTGCACTGTATTTTATTCTGCACTCTAAAATTATGAACGCTTTCATAATCAAATCCATAGATCATAACAAATCGTTACACGATAAAATATCATGAGATTTTTCTTTCAAGAGATCGTAGTTTCTTGGAATTAAAATGGACCACTGTGGAAGCTCCTTTTGGAAAGATGCAAAAGAGTACATATTCTGTAACTCTTTCTAAACGTGCAGATTTGTTAGCAATGCATCGAACGTGAGATGTGAAGTTCTGTTCTTTAGTGTTCTAGAATTGATTAAATGTGTATTTGAAACCAAAAGATTTACTGTAGTTTTGAAGAACTGTGAAATGAAGGGATTTCAGAGGGATGTGCATTTGCTGGATTTTATGTGTTCTCACGGTTGTGATGTAGAGTTGATGCCAAGCTTGCTCAAGTAAGGCTACTGTTGAGTGTTAGCACTATTACGCTACGGTGTTTTGATTTGCTTTAGTTTTTGTTCATCTCAAATACATAAAGGTTTGGATTAAGGCAGCTTTGCAAACCATGGCAATTCATGTGTAAATCTGTGAACAGCTGAGAGGAGTATTGCAAACTGGAGAGAAGCAATAATTTTACAATAGCTTTACTATTTTACATAGCTTTTACAAACTGCGATGTTTGTAAAAGCTATGCTAAAGAGAAGAAAGTGATTCTGAAAAGAAACACTAAATGTTGACTCCTATTTTCTTTACTTTGTAAGTAGGATGTCTGTCTTAGTTTGAAGCCATAATGAGAAACAGCTGAAATAGCTGCCAGTGAAAGGGGTGGTTTCCTTTTAAATACAATATAGTCACTGACTTCAGTTTCCTTGCTAAGATTTGTAAGATTCACCTGATCTACTTGTTCTTTTGAGGTAGGACAGAATACTAAAATACAAATGCTTAGTTTGAACTATTACAGAAAAAAAAAAAGCAAGTAGATTTAAACGAGTGTTTAGAAGTTACAAGTAAAAGCATAGGAGCAGAAAACTTGCAGAAAATTTGGTATGAAACATCCTTGAGCAAGTAAGTAGTGTCCACTCAATACTAATTTTCATTTTGCACTTATAAAATAAGAAGTTTTTTGCAAACATTTATTTTTGAATTTTTGAAAATGAATTTGGTATCTCTTCTTACTGTTGCTTGCAGTTGACATTTCTTTTTCTTTTTTTTCCCTGGATTTTGCTTCAGCTTTATTAAATTGGTGTCCTGACATTTGGCTGCTTGCTGCTCTGAAACCAGCAGAGGGTGCACAGAATGTATTCAGCTGTAGCTGTTTCTTCACGATCCCTTGTGTTACTGCTACATAGGAACCAGACAACTGCCCTCCTAGGCCCTATTCAGGTATCACTTGAACATGATTCTCAAAATAGTTCACAGCTGTGCTTCAGTGCATGGTTTTCCGTCCACCTAGTGGAATTTTCCTGGCACTATCTGTCGGATTCAGAACGGTGCCAGTTCCTATGTGCTTGTTCTTGCTAAAACGAGCAGACGTTACACGTTCATAATTTCATGGATCTGAACCTACTTGAAAAGATGTTGTTTGTCACTCTGATATTTTAGGAGAAAGGTCTGTGAAAGTGGCTGTTGAGCTATTTCTCTGCTTTTTAACTGAACTGTAATTGACCTGGCAGAGCTTTGCTGGGAGCTGCCACCTCTCTCCCTACTCTGACCAGTGAGCAGTGCCTACCAGGTCCCAGATCTTACCTGTCACATTACAAAGTAGTTTGGACTTAGAAAACTTTCAAAAGTTTGTTTCCTTCTACATGTCCTGATGAGAGCCAAGCAGAGTTTTCTCTGGGCTACTTTCTGCTCTTCTCTTTGTGATCTTCAAACACCTGTTATTTTATAAATTGGAGAAATGTGATCAGGAGAGCTCAGTTGAGGGAGTTGCTTTACACTGTCTTTAGAATGTGTTTTTTTCTCTGAGCGTAAGAATCCTCTGTTTAACTGCTGTGTGGTGTTTTATTATGTGAAATTGTCTTTTTTTTACAGTATGTTGCATCATGTCTGCAAGGAGACTAGATGCATATGCTTCTGGAGAGTGCTGAGAAAAGAGCTTTTACCCAAAATTGTCTGCTTTTTTACTGGGTGCTTGGTAGATTTGTCACAGTGATGATTTTGATCCTACTAACTTTTAAATATTATTCCCCTATATTTATATAGAATATGTAATTGCTCTCAATGAGATCAGTTTTCTTTTTGGAGTAATGTTCATGGGCTCATATATAGGTAATAGAATGTATATGATCGTTCTGTGGATACTATACAGGAGCACTTTAGCCCAGTGAATTATAGAATCACAGGTTTGAGTTGCAAGGGACCTCAAAGCCCACAGATCCCCAACCCCCTGCCAGGGGGAGGGCTGGGATCAGGCTGCCCAAGGCCCTGTCCAGTGTGGCCTTGAATACCGGCAGTGAAGTACTGATAAAATTTGTTTCCAGAACAGGACTGCTGTAAACGTGTTCATGCATTTTTGATGTTTCTGGATAACACAACTCTGGCAGGTGAGAGTTTCAGCAGATTCCTTGTTATTAGACAGTTTGTGTGTATTGCCAGTGGCATGCAAAAGGAGCGTGCCAACAGGAACCCCTTTTCACATCCTGTTTCTCTGACAGTGACTCCTCTTTCTTTTCACCCACCTTCTGCTTCTCTGCAGGCCTTATGGCACCTTGCCCTTGCTAGGTAGCTAATGGAGTGCAGTGCATCTTTTGATCAGCGTATCCCACCAAATGCAGATGTCAGAAGTGGGAAAGTAGCTGCTATCTTACATCCTTACCTATAAACCCATCCCGTATGTCAGTCCTGTGAGAAATACTATGATTCCTTCAAAAAACTGTATAATAATTGGTCATTTATAGGATCAAGTCTAATGAATAAGAAAAGATAGACCTTCAGCTTTAATCACCTGCACATTTGCTCCAAGTTGATAGTATTTATTTTATTACACCCATCACCTGAAAGATTTTTTCATGAAGCCCTTGCCTTTATGCATTCTGTTTAACAGGTCATGTATTATGATAGTGAATATGCCAAATAACATATGGAAATTATATATATTTTTATTCATATTCTATAGTAACATTCAGTAGTGAGTGTATTGGATGCATGAGCATGTTTTATCTATAGTTGCAGTGGATTAACATAGTATACATCACAGAAACTATTTTCTAAAACATGAAAAGAATCTTTGTAAGTTTAACATGTAGGAAGACATAGCTGTGGCACTTGAACAGTCCTAACTTAATTTCTGTAATATCTGAAGTAAAGGCAGAAAGAAAATAGTACCTAGTTTACTTTGTTGTAAATTTTAAGATACATTTACCATTAATATAATATAGTTATATAATACTGCTTTGAGAGAGTTTCCATACCACAGAAGAGTATTTTTATCCTCTTTTTTTCTGGATTTAAGTTTATGTGTATGTCTAGATATCGGCATTTCTAATGCTTGACTGTTAGAAACAGTTGCGTATGAATTAGCCTACTATAATTCACTGAAAAACACTATTTAGCTTTATTTCATGTTAATTTATTTCTGCTTTGTAATTTCTCCCGTTGGTCATTTTTTTTTTTCCAAAGCGTCTAATTTTTCTAGCATCTTGTTGGAATCAAGTTCATTGCATCAAACACAACTTTTCTTCTTATTTCTAACAGGCCAAGCTCCATTCTAGATGCATTATAAATTAATTAAGTTTCTTACTTTGGATCTCAAAACTTATATATATATAAGTTTTATATACATATATACATATATATATATATATATATATATATTTTAACTTGTAAGAAAATCTCCTATCATACCTATAATGAAAATGCTAATTCAGGGCTTGAAGCAGTGATTGAGCACCTGGTGGGAAGGCAGGGCCAACCCAGGGGAGCTCAGGTGCAAGCAATGCACCTGAGTGACCCAAAGGGGTGGAACCAGGATCTACCCTTCCCAGCCCTCATTTAAGGGCTGGCAGTGGAGGTGAGGGTTTCTTGTTGGAGATCCCTGTGTACTTGAGGTCTCCTAAGGGTAAGCAGATCTTTTCCTTTGTTTCTGTGACTATGGCTGCTGCATTTGAGTGTATCCTTGCTTGCTGCAGCCTGGGGCTCATTACTACACTGTTATTGCTGCATTTTCAATGATGTTACAATACTTTTTGAGTGTTTTTTATTTGTTTGTTTTGAAGCTTTTGAGAGAAAACAGAAACCCCAAACTGTAGTTGTCTGAAAAACTTTTGTGTTTACAGAGATCATCCTGTGTTCTTCCTCTCATGCCACAGGTGTTTGATCTTGGAGAATTAGGAAAAACTTAATCGAGATCCAGAGTACATTGATTTTAGTAACTACACTTAAGATTTGAAATTTCTTGAGCTTGCCTGAGAAACGATAATCTTCCTTTAAAGGAACAAGTGATTTCAAGCCTGCTTTGCTTTATAAAATATTTTGTTCATAATAAAACTATTATGAGTATGGTTTGGGTTAGCTAAGAATTAATTTTCCAACCATTGTATGCACAATGGTTTCCTCAGTCCAGTGGTACCTTTGAGCATCGAAGTGTTAGTTCAGTGTTTCACTTCACCCTTTTTACAATGCTTTATACTCAGTGCTTCAAAAGCAACTGCAGGTTTGTGTTTAGAATGTTGAAATGTGAATGCAAATGCCAGAAAACCTGTGATTTTCTTGCCATAGCCTTCATTGTGTCTAATTCATCTATTTAATGAGATCCTTGGCAGTCCTTCTCTGAAATTCCAGTTCTTTTGGTTTTTTCTCCGTGTTGCAGTGAATATCTTCTCGCTCTGCTTAAGAACGAGGTGGTTGTAGTATTCTCTCTAGCTACAGAATAAGGATTAAAATACGGTTTTGCTTTGAATTAAAAGAAGTAAAGGAGTATCTGGTTTTACATTTTTTTGGGATTTTAATTTAAATATGCTTTCAGTTGTTACTTAGGTATGAGAAATTGTCAAATACAGATTCATGAAGTTAAGATAGTGTGGTAGGTCCAGCATAGGCATCTTTGGGATAGGTCTTAGTGTGTGTAGACCAAAGGCTAGAAGCTGTCTCAGGCACAGCCCCATATTTTTGTATGTTTGTCTTTGCTTCTTGTGCTTCCTTTCTGTCTTGCTGCTGTTCTAGTGAGGAGTGCCAGTGCTGTAGTACCTCCTGTGGCCCTATCCTTCTGCAGGAATTTGTTGTCTTCGCTCTTCTTGTAGCAGCATCTTTTTTCCCAGCTTTCATATTTCCAAGTTAACAACACCACTTCTATTGGTACAGACAAATAGCAGAATTTCAATGACCCGTGTTGGTAGTTGGAGAAGAAACAAGTGGAGTGGGTAGAGATGCACAGCAGCAACTGTTGTTGTAGGGACATGTAAATGCTGGTCTGCACAGCACTTGGTGAAAGAAGGAGATGGAGGGGCAGTAATTCTTCCTGGCTTTTTTGTTGATCGGTTGGGTTTTTGTTAGTTTATTATGTGTGCGTTGTGGTTGTTTATGTCTTTATATGACTGATGAAAGAATGCATATGGCTATGCCAAAGAAAACAGTGTTGCTTTATGTAAAGCAAAAGACAAAATTCAGTATGTAGGAAACTTTAATGCAAATGGCAATTTTGTTAATTGTTTGAGCATTCTTTATGGATAACGACTGTTCTTAGATTCGAAGGGTGAGAACTGAAGATAATTAAAAACTTTCACCTGGAAATAAGATGCATAGTACTTTTAATTCTCTCAAGTAGAAGTCAAGTTCCAAATTTGTAGTTGACTATATCATTGCTAAACAGTTTTAAGGAGATGTACAGTGTCCTTTCAGCAAAAATTATAGTAGTTTAATTCCAAATCAGTATATTTGGGTTGTTATTTTAGTAAGACTTATCCTAGCTGTAGGGAAAACTAACGAACAGAAAAAAAAAACACCAAACAAACATGAGAATACAAATGAAAATAAAGATTAAATGAATTATCAGAATGCCAAATTCCTTTTACTGGTTTAAAAATCTTTAATAGGCCTTCTAAAAGCAATGTTGCTTTTTCTTGTTTTGCACTGGCACACCTGAGCTGTGCTGGCCCTGTGTCAGGCTGCAGCACAAGGATAGGCACACAGCCTAGCTTCTGTGCCATGCTGTGCCCACTCCTGCTCCTCCTGCCTGTGCTGTAGGTGCACCCATTGCCTGTGTTTGCTGCATGGCCTGTCCTCAGAAAGTGCTGCCAGAGTAGTATAGTGGGGGGAGCGGGGTGAGGAAGTCATCCATTTTCCTATTTACTTGCCAAGTGTGGGAGGTTCTCATTCCTATAAGACCAAAGTGCAAGCTGTCACTGGTGTTTTCTAGAGGACGATTTACTACTGAATAGTATCAA